GACTGAAGGAATGTACTGCAAGTCTTTTCTTCAGACTGTTAAAGTGACATTTTAGGGAAAAAAGCTTGTCTCCTCTCAGGTTGAGTTTAATGAGAGCAGTAGCACTCGTATCTGTCTTTCATATTTCTCCTATCTTTTGCAGTGAGTCTGGGATGTGAATCCAATGACTATAGCCCAAGGAAGTCAAAAGCCTTCAAGCCTGCAAGTAATGTTATGCAAGTAAAATTTACTTGCATAATGTACAAATGTTTGCCATTTCACACTAACTGCTGTCATTGTACTCTGTATAATTTGAATAACAATGACAAGTATTTTCTTCCAAATGGATGTTGCAGTTTGGGTGAATGCTGATGTATGTTCTTTTTTTTTTGTGAAAAGTGATACTCCAAGAAAAATGTCAAAAGATAACTCAATAGGTGGAGCTGTAGCTTGTCACATGACTCATAAAGACCCATAAAACAGTTGTGAGCTGACTTACATACAGTATTTATGGTTGTGATGTACACGCTGCTTTAACAAATATACACACTATTAGCTAAGGAATAAATATGCTGGCACTGGTAGAGGAGAAAAACCATATTATGATCTGAGAAATTCAGACCACGTTGCTACTGTTTGCACTAATGAAAGGAAAAAAAACCCTGAGTTACTAAATTCATTATGCAATAGAATGAACCTATTGATAAAAGGTGAGCAAAGCCTGAATAACACAGAATATCCAGTCAGCTGTGTCGCTTCATGGCAGGCTTCATGGCAGGAAAGCATCCAGTAGAGGTTTGCCAGCAGCATAATTCCTACTGCACCACAAAAATGCCCAGAAGTCATTTAAGAAATGAGGAAAAAAATGAAAATAAAGCAATGTTGTGCGAGGTTTATTTTACATCTTAAGCTTTGACTGTTAGTTTTAAAGAACAAAGGATAAGAAAGGCTCATCTTTCATCCTATCCTATGCTGAACATGGGCTATTTGTATATATTTTTTTCAGTAGGACTTTCTAGTTTTGCACCTTTTTGCATAATTATCCCATTTTACATTTCACAGAAAATGTTCAGCGCTATTGTGAATGTTCGTGCAGCATAGTAAAATATGCAGCTTCTGAGAAAGTGGGAAAAACAATCTTGAGTAACGGCGATGTGTAAACACTTGAGCCCGAACGACGAGAAGCCAAGCTGCCTCTGACAGCAAAGTATTTGTTTGAAAATGCTGTTGCTTCTGACTATGTAATAGCTGGTTCCTCAAGAAAGTGAGACACACGAGGAGGAAAAAAAAAACACTCCTGCGTTATAACTGATGCTTCACCCACAGGGCCCAGAGCACTGAGACTAATGGGGACAATAAGCAAGAATCCTGATAATGGCAAAATTAACATTTCCCCTCATCAAGCAAATGCTTGTAGGGGGTGAAGGGGGGGGAGCAAACAAGGTGTCGATCTTCACAAGATGTCTGTCCTAAACAAGTAATGATTGAATTGGGAGAAACATGACTAAGTTCATTGTAAAACAATAAGGGCGAGAGACACACATAGTGTGTAATGGGGTAGGTAAGAAGAAAAAGATCAGCATAGGCAATTTAAAGTAAATGCGTTCCTTAGACAGTAGCTCATTTCTTCTGCTTGCTCTTTACAAGCTAATGGTTTGGAGCTTGCTTGTTAAGCTGTGTATGCGAATCAGAATGTGAACTGCTGTGCTGTTATAAGGAATCAGCTGGTCAGCATATTGGAGGTTTAATGATGCTCTCTGATTTTGCCATCACTACTAGCAAACTTTCCACCTCCTGCATTAATAAAGCACCAGGATGGTACAGGGGAAGGTATTGTATCTCTTCACTACCCCACTACATTTGTTATGCTAGAGTATCTGGGTACTTTACTTTAAAGAATAAGATCTAACATAACAAATGTTGACCTATTTCATTAAAATTAACAAAATTACCTTGACTGTTTTTGAAGGGAAAGAAAAAGTATTACCAGCTGTTTACAGGAACACGTACTGTAATTTTTCAAGTGATCTGAAAACATAAAATTCTTCAAAATTGGAATATTGCAATTGTGGTACTTTAACATGTGAATATCAGCTGTTTGCAATGTTCGGTGCATTTTAATGTGAGGCTATGCTGGAAACCTCTCGCAAAGTTCACTGTGCATTTCTAATTTGTCCACAGGAAAGCTATAACTGCTCATCTATATTACTAAAAGGGCCCAGAAACTGAGTATCTCCTTTTATCTCACAGCTGCAGGAACAGCTGTCATGTTGTGAGTCTTGACTGTGACACTCAGGTTTCAGTGTTTTCAGACATAACTAACAGATAAATCCCACCACTCCTGATTCTTACAGGAAACCAGAGCTGTAAGAGGCCTAGGATGTTTGAAAAAGAAGTCAATGAAGAGGCTTTTCCTTAGCCCCTCACTACATGACAAGCTTTACGATGATGGTCAAGGTGTTGTATGCTGTCAAGTATTTAAATACACAAGCGATAGGGAATGAGTTCCGTGTATGTTTTAGGCAACTTACATGTACAGTACAGGAAAAAGCTAGCTGAAATGCAGCTTAATAAATAAGGGCAACTTTTCTTTTCAGTATTTCACTGTTTATTACCATAAGCACACATAAAATGCATTCATCTACAAAGAAAGCAAATGTATTGATTGTTTTCAATTGCAAACAAGAAGAAACACTTTACGATTTTCAAAAGGCTCCAATATGTCTTTGTTGGTTTTTCAGAGGGACCTTCTCAATCATTTCACAAAATGACTGTTGAAAAAAATGACTAAATGCAATGCAAAACTAAAATGTACATACACAAGCAATAGTCAATGAAAGGATTTCTTTAGTAACTTGACCTTACAATTTAACATGTCAGATACAGGCAATACAGATATTATATATGTGCACTAGAGGTATTTATCACCACGTGGGCTGCAGCAGCTTTCTGTGTAATGCATGTAGATCATATAAACACACTATGGCACAACATTTCACAATACACAGTGTATAGTCACAGGATACACAGCGATTCCATTGTTATAATACTTCAAACACAAGTAGCCTACTGTATGTACTGCTGACTAACAAAGACTGAGCTACGATATGTTGCTTAATCAATTTAATCCTTTTCTTGTGCTACATGTGATATGATATGATATATGATATGACTTAAACATGAGAGAAAGGTTGCATGCCAAACCATTGCTGTCAACTGTAGTGTTGTATCTTTCTGTACATCAATAGTCCAAATCTCAGTGACTGCTAAATGAGTTTCTTCTCTTCACCTCAGATGGATACATTCGATCTCTTCTGTTACAGGCATGGTGGAGATCATTATATCCATCTCATCCACAGTCTTACTGGGTGCATACTTTGACCTCCAGCGCACCAGTGCTATCTTCTTCAGGTACTTAACTGTGTTGTTCTTGACACTGACAAAACAGAAAGTATTGATCATGCTGTTGCTCATAGCAATGCACTCAATGATGTAGAAGGCCACCAGCGAGTTCTTTTGGCGGGAGATGAGTGTTGGATGGAAGTCTCTGAGGATGGTGAAGCCGTAATATGGCGCCCAGCACAGGATGTACGCTGTTAAAATACCAATCAAGACCATCACTGTCTTGCGGCGACAACGCAGCCTCTTTTTTATCTGTTCTGTCTGAAAACCCGGGACATTCTTGAACCACAGCTCACGGGAAATTTGGGCGTAACACATTGCCATGAAAATCACAGGCCCAACAAACTCCACAGCAAAAACAAATAAGAAGTAGGACTGGTAGTAGGCCTGCTGCTCCACAGGCCAGATCTGAGCACAGAAAACCTTGTGAGTGACTGGGATGGTGCCACCATGGGGGTACATGGTCTCAGAGGCAAAGTAGGCAGAGGGAATTGATATCAGAATAGGAACAATCCAGACTCCAGTTATCAGGCAGTAGGCGGTTTGGTACTTCATACGGGGCCTCAGAGGATGGACTATAGCCATGTACCTGAAAGAACACAGACATGGTGTGGCATTCAGGGGGATATGAATACATAATGCAGTGCAGTCAAACACAGCACAGTACAAGCACAGTAAATGTGGAAAGTGGCACTCAGTCACCCATGGAAGATTAAAGCTCAGTGCACAGTGCTCTATTATTTTAATGGTCTTTTTTTAGTCAAAAAATATACAGGATTTTGCCAATTTATAATCATAAAGGCAACATGGTATATCAATCATGGGATACTATTCTAGATGCTTTTAAGCTTTCCCCATTCATTATCCTAATTATATGTCATATAACTAAAAATTGACACAATTAATTAAGATTATGAATTTTGCAATCTTAAAAGTGTTTAGTGGTTAATTTCTTGAGGAAACAATACATGCTCTTTATATGTGTTCATTAGCAGTTCAAATTAATTCTGAATAAATTAAATTAATTAAATAAATTTTTTGTCTTTACTTTTATTTTCTAATGTTCATTTTTCTGCAGCAGTATTAACATGCAAACCCCCCTAGAATGCTTCACATTTAATTAAGCAGAGCACCACCGAAAAAGAAGTAAGCGATCAAGCAGGCAAGCTGTTGCTTTTTTGTTAACACTACACTGTACAGCATACACAATGCCAGGAGCATCACAGATTCAACAGTGATTTATAATAAATACTGTGATGCGCTAAGCACAGGATCTATCTTCATTGTTACACTGCACAAATCAAACAACACTCCTCACAAGGCATCTTAAATCTGAACCAAGCTTTGGTGTGGATCTTGGTGTCATGTGCATTCATGTGTAGGCGTCTCCCTAGGTTAATGTGTGAGTATGAAATCCAGACATCGCTGACTGTATTATTTACATCTGTGTATTTTTCTACTGTGACACGTACGCACCTATCTGTGCTATTACTTCTGCCCACTAATGAAGTTAAAGTGCTCACGGAATGCCACCTGAACCCTTTACATTTTAAGGCTCTAACTCTGTTGGCACTGACTGAAATATTTACTGTTGGGCTTTACCCCACTTGTTTGTACCACTCAACATTTTTGCACAATAATGTTTGTTGTTGAGAATTGCTGCATCTTGGTTTTGTGTGTTGTTGGCAGTTCAGTTTACTTAAATCAAAGCACTGCTGGGAGGTATTTCATATATGAAAGGTCATAAATGTTCATATAAGTTGTTTGGGAATCCACTGAAAGAGAGTTCACTAATTTTATCAATAAAGTAATGTGGACTTTTATACTGTGTTCCTCCAACCTCAGTCTTACTGAATATCAAATTATTCTGCATGTAAGCTGAATGTTTTCCTGCTCAATTAATCTATTTTTGACCACATTTTCAATATGTTACAGACTAAACAGATGTAGCTGCCAAATGCATGAGGATAAACAAACTATCCAGACTCATCAAGTGCAGATGTCTACCTGCTGCACACTAAACAGGGTGGCAAGTGGGCAGTTGGTGTTGAGCTACTTTAAAAAAATCCAAGTAGGTTTTTTTAAGTACTGAAGGTGTTTGTGTGGGTGGGGAATGTTGATGAGTTAGAAATCAAGATAAATCTAGCCCCATCTCAACTGCAGTATGGTGCCAGGTTATGCCATTAGGACTGCACTGTTGATAAAAACAAATATATTCACTTCAGTGAATATAACATACAGCTAGAAACTAGTCTCCCACTCTACAGGTGTGATTACACTTTAGAAGTGGACATTGTGCAGCAGCATTGTGTTACTGTAGCTCCACTAAATTCAAATTGTGTTAATGTTGCAGCTTGATTGAACACAGCAGTGATTTTTTTTGTTTTATAATGGCTAACACCTGAAAGACTAACCATAGAATATTCATAGACAATGCTGTAAGACTGTTGAAAGAAGCTGTATTTCATTGTAACACAAATTCAAGCTCACAGGGACACGCAAATACAAAAATATGAAAGAAATAACAGACTCACCTGTCGACTGCAATTGCAAGCAAAGCATTTGTGGACACGTAGAGCGACACAGTTCGGAGATAGTTGACAGAAGCACACAGCACCAATCCGTGATCCCAGGAAAGCTGTTTTACAACATAGTAGTCTACCAGGAATGGGCAGCACACCACTGCCACAATGAAGTCTGAGATGGCCAGGTTGGCAATGAGCAGGTTGGTGAGGTTGCGGAGTTTTTTGTTGCGTGTCAGCGTGGCAATAAATATGAAGTTTCCCAATCCGCAGACAAGCATGATACACACAAGCACCACACCTATAACGATGGTAGCCACAAAGAAGGCCTGGCCCTGGGTGGTGTCTGGGATCTCATCAGGAGGGATGCCATAGTCCAGATCATAGTTGTCCAGGTAATGATCCAACTTGCCCTGCATCTCTGTATAAGGTGCTACTATGTGGCTGATATTGGATTCCCCCATGTCTCAGGACACACACTCTTTTTGTGGTTTGGAATGACTAGTATTTAAAATCTGTTTAATCTGACAAATGAACAATTGTGAAAATCTGTGATGGTTTTTGATAGATTGTGTTAAATTCTCTGTATGAAGATGAAAAGGCTGAATCTTCTTTGTAAACAGAAACACATCTTCACCTGGAACAGAAAGGTCCTATCTCAACATTACTCATGCAGACTCAGAATCCATGGTAACAAGATAGAATGAAAACAAATTACATGACCTCAGTGCTTCATGGGTAATCAGGCTTGCTTTTGTGACATTTCTGTGATATTTTCTAATGATAAATGTTTTATGGGTGAGGTCATTAGATCTAGTAAAGGACTCAGTGTAATTTATTAGGACCTTGTCATTTTACAGCAAACCAATATCACAGACCAGGCTCAGCATGATGACGCCATATAAAATAATTTGCTGCAAAAGTGGTCACTTAAATGCTCCTGCATGCACGCCAGGTAAACTATAACAACCAACTACAAGAAAAAAAGAGCGCATTTAATCAGATTAATCTGGCTGCTAACTAAACACATTAAGAAAGAGAGAGTGATCCAAAGCCACTGAGGTAATTCTAGGTAAAAAATAAATTGGTTATTGATCATTATTACGCTTATTTATAATGCACTGCCAGTGCAAAAACGATTTTGAATATCTGCAGAGCGAGAACAAACACGCACTTACAATTAGGACTCTATAGCATTTCATAAAACTAAACGCTGCAGCGGGTCTCAACTGGAGTGCTGAGCTCGGATAAGGATCATCACAGCCTAGAGAGGAATCACAGTCTGAGTTTGAATCAAACTAATATAAAACATGAAGGCACTCACCAGCAAAACGCATGCAGAAGATTTCGCGACTATTCTCAGCCATATAATAGAACAAAATATACCTTAATGCACGCTCAGTGTCAGGGGTGAAACCGAGCCTAAGTCGTGTATTATTGGACAATCCCACCAGTGGAGACAAGGTCGCTCCATCAGTCTCCCTACACACTATCTTCTGCTCCGCTCTTTTCCAAAGCGCGTCATCGAAAGTCAAAAAAAAGAAAAAAGTTGCGTGTGTTTGACTCCCGCCTCAGGTGACAAATCAACGATGACGCTGCGGTGGAAAAACCTCATCTCGCGTCTTACAGGAGGTGTGAGAGAGTGCAGTGCGCGCGTGTGCGGGCATGTGTGGGTGGTTCCAAGGGCTGAAACGGGTAAAAGTTCACCAGCTAAATGAATGTCCGTAAACGGTCCCCATAGCGCACACAACATTTAGGTCATGTTAACCATTACCCTTTCTCACAAGACTGGAAGGATGAAAGAAGCAGAGATGTATAATATAACACGACATTCACGTGCACTGTAGGCTGTGCCTCTCCTTCCAGTAGCGTGAGGAAGGAGCCAGAGACATAAGTTGCCTTTCCCCCAGCAAAACCTGGCACACACTGAACACCCACAAATAAAACTCTGCCAACCCCAAACTAAATACATCCCTGCCAGAGGAGCATTATGGGCGATTTTGTCAGGTTCTTGTCCCCTAAGGCATTCTGGGGGACCCCGCTAAGTGTCTCTCTGCCCCCAGTGCTACACAGCCCCCACATGGCTGGTTAACTGCCCTTAGTAACCACAGTCATAGCAAAGTCTCTTCCATGTTGGGGGTGGCCTGCACTGGCGCTGAGGCTGCTCTGGTTGCTCCTGGGCAGCTGATGGAGAGGGGTCTAGAGCTCCTTGGGTGGCTCCTGTTGACCAATTCTCACCCCTCAGGTGAAGCCACGCAGCAGCGTTGCAGTTGGCCGCAGGCCTTTCCTACTGGCGGTGTGGAGAGCCACAGCATCCACACCCAGGCAGAGGATAGACTCAGGCACATCTACCATGGCCCCCTACTCTGCCAGCAGGTCAAGGCCGATGATGCGTGGATCCTGAATGTTGGCCAGCCTGAACTGGTGCTCCATGCTCCATGCCAGCATGGCTGACCAACAGTTGTGTCAGGTGAAGGGGAGATGAGTGGCCTGGGGGTGCTGGCCATTGTGGCACCGATTACTAGGCAATAAAGTGCAGTGTGGCCCAGCTTCCCACAGTGATAGCACTCCTGCTTTCCCAGTTCCTCATGTTGGTGCTGGAATGGCAGCGACCTGGTTGACTGCCATGACCCGGGACCCGGATCCCCACCTCAGTGCACAGTGGTTTCCCACTCCACTGGGAGCTCCAGGGCTTCACCCAAGGTTCTGAGGTGGGCCAGTTGCACAGGCAGTCTAAGCTTGTCAGCTGTACAGCTGTAGCCAAAACAGCTGTAGCACTGCGGCCAAAGCTGCTCATTTTGTAAACACTAGATGGTAAATAAAGATTAAACGTACTGACTGTTTATTGCATTGTCATTTTTTCAGCAAAATACTGCAGCGGGTCAGAAAATTTTGCTCTCATTTGAATAAAATTGTGTATGTTCCTTTACTGTAGGCTAAAATCATTATTTGTGGTGGATATAAGCATTTTAAATTATAAGGTTTTACAGTGTAAGAATCTCTGGAGTTCGGGTTTCTTCCTTGATAAAAGAGTCTTTGAGCAGAACTTTGAATATCTTTCATGTAAAACAGATATTAAAATGTGCATATTTTGAGCTCATTAGAATCAGTCTATCATCATTTTCCAAACCTGTCAGTGAAACATTCATTGGTGAACAGGATGCTGTGTAAGTATTAATTTGTCATTTCTGGTTGCATATGGTCTCCTCTCTGCCAATCTCCGACTGAAAACAAACATCACATGTTTAATATTCACATTAGTGGCCATTAGTGACACTAATTGCAAAGTGGCTTTGGGAAAAGTAATCAGTGTCAGTGATTTTCAGGATTATCTTTCCATTTTTATTACACATTAGATTAGTTTGCATAGGTTTATGATATTCCTATTTCAACAATGAAACATTTGTAAGCCTACTTAGCAATTCTGTAAATCGAGTTCATGTATAGCTGTGGAAAGATGTCAGCACCATACCTCTCTGGTCATCCTGAACAGCAGATAAACAGGCAGATAAACAGCAACGATGATGATATTTTATGATCAATTCCTTATTGTGATGGAAAGCTAGCCCTGCTGTGTGTGTGTGTGTTTTTTATATCGCCTCTAAATCATCTGTCAATAGCAGCAAGATAGCATTTTGTGTCCTTTCACACTGAGTGCAACGGGCTGACAGATGTAGTCAGCACAGCAGTAACAGAAAACTGAGACAGGAGTGAACCAGCAGACAACTCCTTCTCCTGAGTAGAGTATAAAGAACACAGCAGGACAAAAACATTTCTTTTCTAGAGCTTAACATGTCCACTTGCTCAGCCCACAAGACATGAGAGATCTGCCTTTGTGAGCTTCTATATGTTTTTATTACCCTCTAAATATTAACGGCAACATGCACAGCTTTACCAGTGTCTGCCACTGTAGCCCAAGAGGCCTGAGCACCAGATAAACACTTGCTTTCATTTCCAACTCTGGACAGTTCTCTAATCTTACCCAGGCCTCAAATTTATTACCACTCGTAACCTATGAATATAGATGGGGAAAGGGGGCAGAGTGATGCTGGCCTGCTCTCTACAGCCACGGACAATATGCACAAGACCTATAATCTATGGTGTCTGTGAGGGATGAAGGTGGTTTATTGATGACAGTGTTACATGGGAATAAGCAGCAGTGAAGTAGAAACTATACAAATATATATCTGAATAGAGGCTGTCTGGTTTGTTCACCTAGGAAAGTGAAAGTGTAAATGAGTTTATTGAGTAGATGAGTAGGTCGACGGAAAAGGGTTGACTTGTGTCTGGTAGGATGTTGACAGCGGTATGCGGAAGGCTTCGAAGAGAACTGCAACCGTTTCCAGGCATGGCAGATCCTCTTATGTTAGAAACAGAGGGACAGAAAGTGAAAGGGGAAGAAAACAGAAAGAAGGTGAAAGTATTATGAAGTGAAAGTGGCTGAGGGTGAGAACAAGGAATTACAAATAAATAAATAAAAATGGCAGGAAGGGACATCAACCGCCCATGTACATCACCCAAAAATGACAAGTGCTGAATGGTAAACAATAGAAAAGCTTTGTGAATAACATGGCAAAGGAGTAAGAAAATGGCTTTGTCTTTTAAACAAAATATTTCCTACTAACAATTTTAAGTGTCCTGCTGTTTATGTGTGAAAGTATCTGTCAAAAATCATTATTTTTTCCACACTTATCAGCTTTCATTCATTCATTAATCAGTTTAGTTCATCAAGTAGTGTTTAAGTTTGTGCTAAAGAGGAGAAAGAAAGTTGGTCATCACATTATTTTGACTTACTGTATCTCTGTGTGATTGAATATCTATTGCTTGTATGAGAAATCATCTATAAAACATGTTTTAAACTTTTTTGTTTAGAACATGCAGCTTAATTCGCATACTGCAGCTTGACTAGCACAGTCTTCCCTCAAGCCACTGACTATTTTGAGGCCAAAACATGCTAAAATGCTAATATACAGTCATTTGACATGTGGTTCACTCAGCCCTTTACAAAGTGCTAGATCTGTCCAGAGGGACATTGTGACTCCCACTGCACCACAGCCTGCAGAGAGCAAGCTAAAGCAGAAGCTCCTTTGTTTCCTCTGCGTTCTTCTGACACATTCTCTGGCTCCTATCTTTGCTGAATGTTACAATAAATGTAAGAGAAAAAATGGAAATGCAAAAGGAAAATAAAGACATGTAATGATGCTGGCTAAAAGCACCATGATGAAAACAATGACTCCCTGTCCCTAAAAAAAATAAAGTGATTTTAAAGTGATAAAGATATTTCAACTACAGACCATCTTCCCAACAAAGCATTACCACATGGTCTCATGTCGTTGATTGTTTCCATTAAACCAAGCAACAAATGAAAATTGAAATGACAGGACTACTATATGGTTTCTCAGTTCTTGTTTGTTACTGTTTGTAGTGTTATTTTGTTTTTCATTATATTGTTGCTATACAGAGAATTAATACTATGATCATTAAATATCCACTGTAGTGTATTACCATATATATTAGCGACTGTGCCTGCCTGCTTATCTCTAAATAAGAATAGTTTTCTGTAATTTAGGGCATTTTGTGTCATTTTTTTAATGAATAAAAACACAATTACAGAAAAAAAACACCTTTTTAGCATAATGTAGAGTGGGCACACAGAGATGCTTTTGGTAGTTCACCACAGTTCACACACCCCTCAGTCCTGTAGTGGGTAACTATTTAATCTGCCATATTAAATAGGGATCTACAAAGCAGCTGACTAAGAGCTAAAATATTGTGCGTGTCAACCCAGTCCTTTCATGAACTAGCCAGTTTGTTTGTTTTTGTGGTTCTGCTTGGTCATCAACAACATGACTTTTCTAATCTCTTCCACAAAGCCAGCAACACAATCTGGAAGGCCCCAGGCTATGCAGGGCCACTGCCAAGGGGCGGCTTGGGGGTTTATTTTGCTGCCAGCCAGTGCTGTTCAATGTTTAGTCTAGCACAAGACAACCAAGGGTGAGCACCCGAGTTTTCACACAATAAAGGTGCTGAAGGGGACCGAGCAGTCCAGGAATACCACCAGCCCAGGGGAGAGAAGCATACCACCATGTTCAAGACCAGCTACCTGCATGAGGTGCGCAAGGAAAAGTATGAGCGCTCAGATGTCTTTGATAAGGAACCTGAAGACTCTGAAACATCTGCAGGCATCTCAGCCATCCAGGGCTGGGAGAGCCTTCAGAAGCTCAACAGTCGCTTTGCCCGATATATCAACAGGGCACGCGTCCTGGAGCAACGCAACGCAGTGTTCTGCAAGCAGCTGGAGACATTGCAGCGGATGGAAGAGGTCAGCAGCCCAGCTGAGCCCTTCACAGAGCAGACTGAAGTCAACAGGCATCGCATCCAAGAGCTGTCCTCTGACCGTGCCAAGCTGGAGCAAGAGCTGAATGATGCTTGCCATATGCTGGATGAATTTACCAGCAAGTAAGCGAGTGTGCAGTAGTTGGTTTTATCTGTGTCAAATATTGAACTTCCTCCTTACAGATGGAGTGATCTCAAATGTACTGTGTAATATACAGTGTACAATGTGTATTGTATTTACTGCCTTAAAGGCACACAGGTGGTGTGTGACTTGTGTCAAGACACCTGTCAACATGTCAGGATACAGTATTGTCCTATTTTAGCGTAGAGGCATGCATCTTAGAGGCAGACATCTCAAAACCTGGCAAATAAAATCATGGCCACACACCATTAGAGATTAAAGGCAAACAACCCTTTAATTGTGACTATCTACAAACATGCTGCAATCAGCTCTCTACATCTCATTGTTAATGAGTTGAGATGAATATTGACCAATCAGTGGGTGAAGAGAGTTAGATTCCACCATGTCTACTTTCGATTTATGGCTCTGATACATTACAAACTCAGAGGTGTTTTGCTTCAAGAATGAGCTTTGTAATCTGTCCTGTCTCACTGGGAACACACAATACAAATATGCAATTAGACTCAAATAACACACAGTTTATTCCAGTACCTTGGAATAATGCAGCCTTACATGATAATGCCATGCTGTGCCTCTTCCTAAAGCATCTAATCCAGATGTTTTATGTTCCAGGTATAGAAATGAATGTGATTATCAAGAATATCTACGGGCCACTCTGGAACAATTAAACAAGGTACTGTATGGATGAAATTTAAATCATTTAAATTACAGCATTTTAATAATTCTAGGTAAGATTTTGCCAACAATTAAAGTGGAAAAAAAAACCTGTGCAATAAATGAGACAGCATACAATTATTTACAAAGTATGGTGCTTTTTAAAAAAGTACTTCTACTATATTGTTTTGTACTATCAGACATAATGATGGAAGAAATGCAGTACTATAGCTTTGCCTAAAGGGATTTAATTTGCAAATAAAGCATGAAAAGTGTCTGCCAAACATTAGGCTGGACACCATGATGGGATTTTATGTGTTATTATAAGACTTCAGTGGGTTGTTTAAATGTTCTGTGGCTTTTTTCTGAACTCAATATACTTCACACCATGTGTTGTGGGTTTCTCTTCTCTTCTCTTGCAGGAGGCTGACAGTGCGCTGCTGAGAAACCTGGAGTACCAGATCCAATCACAGTTCCTGCAGGATGACATCAACTTAACCAAAGACAGACACAAGAAGGTCAGTGACACTACTGGGAAATGGTCAAAACTACGCTAAACTAATAAAAGAAAACTAACTTACTGACATCAGATTTGCCTGTCACCTCACAGCAAGAAGGTCCCGGGATTGAGCTCTGGCCAACGCAAGGCCTTTCTGTGTGGAGTTTGCATGTTCTCCCTGTACCTGTGTGGGTTTTCTCCAGGCACTCTGGCTTCCTATCACAGTCCAAAGACATGCAGCTTAGTTTGATTGGCGACTCTAAGTTGCCTGTAGGAGTTAGTGTGGCTGTCTGTCTCTAAGTGTCAGACCTGTGATGGACTGGTGCCCTGTCCAAGACCCCAATATATAAATGTAAATGAAGTGCTGTTTATGTACAATATTCATAAAACAATATATATAACAGAAATCTTTTTTTTGTTAGTAGTCAAGGGGCCAAGAGTGCTCTGGGCTTTATCACTGTATATAAATCAATATGTATTGATGGTAGAGTGAAGATACATACAGAAATTGACTGGAAGCAATTACACTGATGCTCAGATTATATTGATTCTTAACAATGGCTTTTACAAACTGGGCCAGTAAAAGCCACTCACTGACAAATTGCTTTAATAATTCATTTTCATCATTTATAACCGTTTATATCCCTCACATGCTGCTCTTTAAAAAATGACCACATTTTGAAATTGTGCTCATATTACTCTTTTTGACAGTATCTTTGATCTCAAGGTAAAATATTTGCATGGATTTACTGGATAGCTCACAGTCTGTCAAGAAACCTAACTCACATCAAAGAATGTTAGTTCTTAGTGCTTCACGCAGCAGCGTATATTTTATTTTGGAATACTGCTGACCTCAGGACTCCACTTTGAAAAACAACTCACAAAACTTTGACATGAGTACCAAAGGATGTGTTAGGTTCTTGGGGCTTTAAGAACAATTTACCTTCTGTGACATGAGTGGGTAAAGGACTGCAGAAGAACTGGAGCATTGCTCTTTACAGCCACTGATATACAGTATGACAGAAATGTACAGAGTAAAGACAAAAACTCGAATGCTACCCTCTGTGCAGTAGAAATGATTTTAAGGTGCAACACAATGGCCACATCCCATATACTTTCTTTACTGAGCAATTCCTCTTTTTTACTTCAATCCAGTGCTGCTTTTGAAGATGAATCATTGTGTGACTCTGTAATACTGAGATAGCATATCAAAGGCCAATACTATTTTTATATTATGTAAGGAAAGAATAGGGAGTCTTTTCACATGAATACTGGGCTTGTGGTGCTGAGCCTTGAAATGTTCCACTAAATAGTGGAAATATATTTGTTCTTTATTACTGAGACTGAGCTCGGGCTTGTACAGATGGAAGCCAAATGAAAGCCTTTTATAGGATACTTTAGTTCTCTCACTCAATCTTCAAAAAGAAGCAGACCAGATGAAATGGTTCAACTTTGGATGTTCCCCCTTTTTCTGAATTGTGCATTTTATGATTTTTGTACTATCCTCCTCTACACAGAACCTCGCAGAGATCCAAACCTATGTAAACATATTGCAGCAAATCAACCAGACACTTCCCTTTGTTCCCAATGTGTCAATGGGCATCTCAGAGGTGAGTTTGCTAATGTTGTCACTGTGCGTGTGTGTACACGTCTGTGTGCGTGCATGCACTTCAGTCCCTGGGGGAGAAGATAATGTTTGCATGTCTGTGAGCCTTGTTCTACGTGTCTAGGGTTGATGAGGTTACTGGCTTTTTAGTTCAATTTGTTGCCTGTGCCTGCGTTTGTCTGTGTAAGTACAAAAAGCACAGACACACGGACAGGCCGGCGGTTTGAGAGTGCCAGGACACAGAATGAAGAAAATGCCAGAAAGAAATGACAGAGGAACTGCAGTCATAGTAACTGGCATTTGTGGGGCAAATTGTAATTTTATTTATACAAACATTTCTCAGAGGAAGAGCTGCTATGGATGCAGAAACGGTTTAGCAGGTGAGATTAAATCTCGGTGCGCAGAGACAAAACAAGCCATAGCTCTTGGCTGCATTGAGCTGAAATCCATTGGAAAAAGAAAGAAAGAAAGTAAAATTGCAGGCAAGGAGAGAGTAAATGTTATAGAGCTTGGTAATATTGCTAGTCTTCTGGGGCCATCTGTCTACATATATAAGGAAGACAAATAAAAGTAAAAACTGAATTACTGAGCAGAAAAACATAAGCAATGGAGATGCTTCCATTAAGGGGGACAACAGGTCACTGTAAAGTTTGACGATTATGGAAAATCTGTGAATCACAAGCTATGGCGTTTGCAATCCAACACATGTGAACACCTAAAAACAGACAGACAAGTAAAGTTTTTGATTAATAATGTCACGTCATACAAGAACATGCTGCCAATAAAAAGTTGAACATTATAAACTTTATTAATTAAAATGATTTCAAATATTAAGAACCATGATTGCTTACAGTATCTACCCAGGTGTATCGAGTAAAGCTCTAATGATGGTAATCAATAGTGCAATCCAAATACTCAAAGGTTCATTTTAAAATGCCAATAAACTGCTGCAATGCCCTTAAATTCAAAAATCAATCAGTGACCCTTTTACAGTGAGACTTCAGAAAGAGAGTTGACTGCAGGCTCTGTGAGTGTGTGTGATGTAACCTTCATTATTTAAAGACACACTGTGGTTCTCTGCATGTTCTCATTGATTTGTGCTCATTGTGTGAAGGAGCAGGAGAAGCTGCTGGCCCAGAGGAAAGCGCCTGCACTGCACAGTCAGCTTGAGGAATATAAGAGCGCCCTCTGTCAGCTGCAGGCCCAGAAACAACGCCTACAGACTGAGGTGGGTCACACGGTCACCATGACAACACAAGGTTTCACACTGATTATATGCAGCGTTTCCTCATTTAAAAAAAAAAAAATACTACCAAGTTGATATCTACAAAAGAACAATTAAAGAGGATGTCTAGAGGGAACCAAAACAGACAATACTGTCCAAACCTTTGTTCTCTGCTGTGAACTACACTCCTAGCTCAACAATAAAATAGCTGTACAGTTTGTATGCAGCAATTATTTTAAGTTTTGATGAATCTAATGTTATTTTATGAGTAGCTTATTAGTTGTTTTATTTCTAAAATGTTACAAAATAGGGAACAGGAGCAATATTCATGTTAGGTTATGTCTTAAAATTTTGTGACACCAAAATGTACCACTAGATGTCAGCTACGACCACCTTATGTCATCAGGGTGTTAATAGGTTTAGCAACAGCATTGTTAGCCCACAGGAAATGAGAAATGAGACTGAAATCCTTAAACCATGTCGGTTGCAAAAGCAGCTGTTTTTATTCATAACATTTTTCATATTTTTTAACCATCACTTTTTAATGAATCACTGCCTTCTTTCAGACTGCCATGTTGGAGCAAGCTATCAAAAACACACAGGAGAGTTATGACAATGAGATCCAGATGTTCAATGAACAAATAGAATCTCTGAAGAAGGAGACTGAGGAAGCTGAGAGATCGCTGGACAGGTTCACTAGTGACTGTCACCACCTGGCCATGTACCAGACATCTCTTCAGAATGAGCTGGAGAGGTACAAGAGTATCATTGAGAACGAAGATAACAGGTAGACTGCCTCCACCTGGTTACTGATACGTGCAGAGACACACACATATGCAAGTCCTGCCTCAGCTAGTTAACCATTCACTTCAGTCAATTTAACAATAAAAATGACATGTAGAGGAATGTAGCTCTTCACTATAGATGAAATAATTGTTGAGAACCTGTCATATAGAAGTCAAGTGAATCTAATATAAACATAAGTGCAATATATAATACTTTGATCAGAATAAATGGGTTTAATTATAACATGAAGACAGATTAACAGCTCCAAAAAATGCATTTATAAAATGCTCCCAGAGCTGTTAGAGCTATGGCCAGAACTTCAGAATATCTGAGTTCCAGTTTTCAACAATGCAATCCCAAGAAGTGCTTGACTACATTAATGTTATGTGCAAAAATCAGCCAGCAGATGGCACTGTGTGACAACAAATGTTTTCCTCTATTACACTAGCACAACACAGTGTTTGTGGCTTTTAATGCAAAATTAGCTACATTTATGTTAATTTAAGGTCCTGTTGGTTTCTTTTTTGAAAAACGTGAATGATTGATTGCCTTGCCAGATTTTTCTGCATAGCAAAACTGTTGCACGGGCGACATTTCACTGCTTTCTTTTTGGCAGGTTGAATTCAGCGATAATTGGCACTCCCATTACCCTGTTCACCACTAATTACGACTACACTCACAAATCCACTAAATCAAGCAGGGGGAGAGGTAAGGACACCAACATATCACAGCTGGCTTACACCAAGCATCATTACTGCATGCACATATAATCAACTGCCATTGTGAGAGACAGCTACAGTATACTCTCTCTTAGGGATTTAGTTTTACAAAGCTAACAGAGCTGCCAACTTAGATCAGAGAGCAGTGATCATAGAACATAAAGTAGAGAACATAGAACATAACTCAAAGCAATGTCTTTATTTTCTTTACCCTCCCAGAACATTTGAGTGTGTTGGTGCCCATGCAATTTTGGTCTTGTCTTAGTTCACCAGTTCTGCCTAGTTGACTTCCATCCATCCATCCATTTTCCTCCGCTTATCCGGAACCGGGTCGCGGGGGCAGCAGTCTAAGCAAAGATGCCCAGACTTCCCTCTCTCCAGACACTTACTCCAGCTGTGTGATCCCCCTATAGTTGGAACACATCCTCCGGTCCCCCTTCTTGAAAAGAGGGACCACCACCCCGGTCTGCCAGTCCAGAGGCACTGTCCCCAACCACCATGCGACGTTGCAGAGAGTGTCAGCCAAGACAGCCCCACAATATCCAGAGACTTAAGGTAGTCAGGGCGGATCTCATCCACCCCCGATGCCTTGCCACCGAGAAGCTTCTCAACTACCTCTGAGACTTCAGCTTGGGTGAAGGACAAGTCCACCTTCGAGTTCCCAGCCTCTGCTTCCTCATCGGAAGACATGACGCTGGGGTTGAGGAGATCCTCGAAGTATTCCTTCCACCATCCAATGATATCCCCAGTCGAGGTCAACAACTGCCCACCTCCACTGTAAACAGTTTTGCCAGGGCACTGCATCCCCCTCCTGAGGCGCCGGACGGTTTGCCAGAATTTCTTCTAGGCCGACCGATAGTCCCTTTCCATGGCCTCATCGAACTCTTCCCAGACCCGAGTTTTTGCCTCCACAACCACCCGGGCTGCAGTCCGCTTGGCCTGCCGGTACCCATCAGCTGCCTCAGGTGTCCCACGAGCCAACCAGGCTCAAAAGGACTCCTTCTTCAGCTTGACGGCATCCCTTACTTCCGGTGTCCACCACCGGGTTTGGGGATTGCCGCCGCAAACATCACCAGAGACCTTATGGCCACAGCTCCAAATGGCCGCATTATGGAGGCGGAGAACATGGTCCACTCGGACTCAATGTCTCCAACCTCCCCTGGGATCTGGTCAAAGCTCTGCCGGAGGTGGGAGTTGAAGATCTCTCTTACAGGGGATTCTGCTAAATGTTCCCAACAGACCCTCACAATACGTTTGGGTCTGCCGAGCCTATCTGCTATCGGATCCAGCTCACCACCAGGGGGTAATCAGTTGACAGCTCCGCCCCTCTTTTCACCCGAGTGTCCAAGACATACGGCCGGAGGTCAGATAAAACAACCACAAAGTTGATCATCGACCTTCAGCCTAGGGTGTTCTGGTGCCACGTGCACTGATGGACACCCTTATGCTTGAACATGGTGTTTGTTATGGACAAACTGTGACTTCCTAGTTGACTTTTGACCTTATTTTGTCCAGATATCACCAAGGCTATCCAAGATATCACCAGTATGAAGCCCCGCCAGAAGATCCTGGCTAAGAAGGTTTTGAAGAAGAAAGAGCTGACCCCGAAAGATGTGATGGACAGTGGCCAGGAGGAAAGAAATGGGAAAAATTTTAAAGAAACCAAAGAAATCCTGCCTAAGGAAGTGCAGGAGGAGAAGGTCAAGAAAAAAGAGCAGAGACCTGTTCTCACTGGGGTATCTCCACAGGATGTTCCAGATGGAGCTCAGATCAGCAAAGCCTTTGACACTCTTTGTAACATTGTCAGAGACAGAATGAGAAGGTACAAGAAGCCTGAGCCAATCGCCGACTTCTACACCAAGGGTCATTATGTCCTTGTCACCGGTGATGGCAGTTACCCAGATCCCTGTTTCTACACCTCCACACCATCAGCTGGCCGCATCTTAGTCACTATAAGAGATGGAATGATGTCTCCCTGTGAGCCTTACAGAAGTAGCACACCTTCTCCTCCGCCTCCTCAGCCCATGCCAGACCCCAAACCTCTTAGTCCCAGCCTGCCCCCCAGTGCAACAGGAGGAAAGGAGGATACTATGGGTGGAAGAGGTAAGGGCAATGGAAGTAAAGGTAAGCTTAAGAATGAAGAACCTCAGCCTCAGTCTAGAGATTCGATTCCAGTCTGCCCAGGCTCTGGCCCTAAAGGTCCCACCCCAGCTACTGATCAGTCCAAGAAAAACAGTGATGACAATGGTCCAAGTGGGCCTGCTCCAAAACCTGCTTCACGTGCTGCCAGCACCAGCTCCAGCACCAGCACCAGTTCCAGCTCCAGCACCAGCACCAGGTCTAGCAGCTTTACCCCAGATGCCCTGAGCTATGAGAAAGTGGAGGTGGTGGAGTCTGTGGAGAAGTTCTCCAAAGGCCGCATGTTTAAAGATTATGAGGAGACTTCTGTGGTGGTAGAGACCATGATCGAGAAGTCCAGCAAGAAGAAACACTAAAACCTTATCACCTGACTGAGTCAGATCCACAAAAATACAGCTGTTCCTCAGA